TCCATGATAGAAAAGGTGAGAAGTTGGAGGGCCTGGAGGCTGAGGGCCTACATTTGGAATCTGGCCAAGAGAAGACACAGGACATGCCAGCCAGACCCCACGTGTGGGTCCCACACAGCAGCAGTGACAGGAAGTAAAGCTGGGAAGCACAGTGTTAGCCACAGACACAGGAAAGGCAGTTTTGACTCTAGCCTAAAAAGCCTCTGATAGAAAAGGTGAGAAGTTGGAGGGCCTGGAGGCTGAGGGCCTACATTTGGAATCTGGCCAAGAGAAGACACAGGACATGCCAGCCAGACCCCACGTGTGGGTCCCACACAGCAGCAGTGACAGGAAGTAAAGCTGGGAAGCACAGTGTTAGCCACAGACACAGGAAAGGCAGTTTTGACTCTAGCCTAAAAAGCCTCATTTGGGGGCAGTGTGAGCCAGAGAGGAACTGAAGTGGGGTCTGTTATGGGCTGGAGAGGTTGTGTGAAAGAAGATGTGAGACTTGGTGCTGGGGGAGCCACAGCACAGAAAGTCTGTATTTGTGTCTGTCTGTTGGGCTTACTCCTCCAGACAAGGAGGCAGTGCTTACCCATTCCTGAGAGGCTCTGGATGGTCCTTTGTCCGCAGTAAGGCCTGGGTTCGGGTGGCTCTATGTGCCTTTTGTGGTAGGAAGGTGGGCTTGTTAAAAGGCACTTCCCCAGTAAGAACTAAGGCCTTGTCTACTCTGGCACGTTTTGTCACCAAAACCTGCCCTCTGGTGACAAAACAATGGGGCTATGTCTACACTGGCAGCTTCTTGCGCAAGAATAGCTGTTCTTGTGCAAAAACTTGCCCGATGTCTACACTGCAGGTGTGTTCTTGCACAAGTAAATTTACAGTATAGCATTGAAAAACAGGGCTTCTTCCGGAAGAGTTATTCCTCTCCCCACGAGGAATAAGCCCTCATGGCAAGAGCTCTTCCGCAACAGGGCAGTGTAGACAGGCAACATGAATTTCTTGTGCAAGAAGCCCCTATGGTTAAAATGGCCATCAGAGCTTTCTTGCACAACAGAGCATCCACACTGCCATGGATGCCTTGTGCAAAGGCACGTCAGTGTAGATGGGCTCTTGTGGAAGACTTTTTGCACAAGAACTCTTGTGCAAGAAGCTGCCAGTGTAGACATAGCCAGGGTGCGTTCACACTACAGTGTGACTTATCAGGGAAAACACCCAGTTTTGGTGACTAAAAACTTCTAGCCCTGGGAGATGGCCCGGAACACGCTAAAAGGTTATAAAGAGGGCTGGAGACCCAAGTCAGAGTGAAAGAGTTCCTCTCTAACTTGAGGATTATGCCTGAAATAAGAACAGCTTTTTAGAGTCTGTATATAATAAGTATATAGAAGTAGCTGTTTTTATTTTCATTTTAATTTATAACTTACTTTGTTCTGTGGCTCTGTCTACACTGCAGGCTTCTTGCACAAGAACAGCAGTTCTTGTGCAAAAACTTGCAGTACGTCCACACTACAAGCCTGTTCTTGCCCAAGAAAGTTTACAGTAGATCGTCAGAAGAGAGGGCTTTTTGCGCAAGAGTTATTCCTCTCCCCATGAAGAATAAGCCTTTTTGCGCAAGAGCTCTTGTGCAAAAAGGCTAGTGTGGACGGGAACAGGGGTTCCTTGCGCAAGAAACCCATATGGCTAAAATGGCCATCAGAGCTTTCTTGCACAAGAGAGCGTCTGCACTGCCGTGGATGCTCTTGTGCAAAAGCACATGGCAGTGTGGACACGTTATTGCACAAGAAGCCTGCAGTGTAGACACAGCCTGTCTGTTTTCACTTACAACCACTTAGATCCAACGGTTTGTGCTTAATAACAACATTTCTGTTTACTATCAGGCCCAGTGTAAATAATTGTTGGGGATGGGGGAGGCAACCACTGTGCATCTGTTTCCTTGATAAAAGGGGATTACCTAAAGAGTCTACCCTCCCTAAAGCTCATATACAGGGAAAATGGAGAATAGTGATAGAAATGTAGCCGTGTTAGTCTGGGGTAGTTGAAGCAAAATGCAGGACAATGTAGCACTTTAAAGACTAACAAGATGGTTTATTAGATTATGAGCTTTCGTGGGCCAGACCCACTTCCTCAGATGGAAAATGGATTTATTCAGGGGGTTTGGGTCCCATTCTGGGGTTGGTTCCTGGCTGCTCAGCCCTAGAATTGAGCTGGTTCAGTGTCTGTGTTGCTCTGCAAGGGGGTGGTCACCCCAGCTCTGTGCCTTGTCTGGTGGAGACACCAGTATCTGGCCCAGCAGGAAAAGGTGGTGAGGAGCCCCAGTGAGCAAGGAAGTGGGCACCAATGATGTGATCAGCCCACTGGAGAACAATCCTAAGGGGTCTTCTGTGACTGCACCCCATCACACAAAGTTCTCATTTCTTTGGTAACTAATCCTTTGGCTGAAATTGTCTGTAAAATTGCTTGGCGTGAGGGAAGGAGAAGTGTCAAAGCCATCACAGATGGCCAAGATGTGAACCCTTGGAGATGATCAGCATAACATGGGGAGTCCTGTCTGTGCTCCCATTGTCCCTGAGGGTGGGGTGGTGACAGAATGGGGGTTCTTTGTGTGCCATGCTGCCAGACCCAAACCCCACACAGCCATCTTGCTCACCTCTCATCCGAGTCTTCAGTCCCTGGGCCTTTGTGGGGTGAGCAGTGGCCGACACGTCTAGGAAATCACCAAGAAGGCAGTTAGAGCATCACTTTGCCATGGGCAGCAGGGGTGAGCCTGGGGACAGGGAGGGGCAGAGAGCAGCCTGGGGGGTTAAGAGGTTGGGGATCCCAGGGTTGCCATATTGACGTGGCCCTGACCTTGAACTGAGCGCTTTGGGCTGCTGTCTCTGACAGGCAGGTCTCCGGCTGTCTCATCCAGCAGGAGCAGTGACACGGCCATGGCAGAAAGCCTAGTCTGCAACACAGGGAGAGAAGTGGAGACTGGTGGCCCTCAGAGGTCCCATAGCAGGCGGTCCTGGCCCAGAGGGAGCAAAGCAGCAGCATGGACACTGGGGGAGAGGCACCACCAGGGCTTGGTTTGGCAGCTGTCTCTTTAGCCAGGATCCATGGGATAGCAAGGCAACATGCTCCCCCTCCCCCTCCCCCCCTTGAGCAGCTCAGCTCTGGGGTTGGGTCTTCTGGCCCCACATCTGTGTTGGCTGTGCCACCCCTACATGGGCAGTGGCTGCCCTGGGTGCTAGGAGCAGCAGTAACCATGCTTGACGATGCCCCCACCCCAGTGCCTCTCCTGTGGCTTCCTCCTACCAGCCTTGCTGGAGAGATCTGTCTTGGCAGCTCTGGAAGAGGCTTTTCTTCCCAGCTAAACTGCTCCCATCTGTCAACAGTGCAAGTCCACGAAGAGTCCAGGCCAGTTAGGGGCAGGGATATGGCACAAGAACCAGCGTGAGCAGCCAGCTGCTGTGGAAACATCCTCCTGCTGCCCCAGTTCTGCTGAAACCTCATAGGCCAGACAGGTGCCCCACAGCTCTGTCAGTGCCCCTCACTCCCAGCCCACCACCCCTGTGCTATTCTAGCCAGGGCTCCATGAACTCTGCTAAGGCCCTGCTCTCCGTTTGCTGCTCTCTCAGCCCTGGGCTCTGTACCCTAAGCACAGCTCTGCCAATGCCCCACTCCAGACCTGCAGCCCAGGGCTACCCCCAAATTCCTGCCAATGACCCTTACTGAGCAGTCCTCATGCTCCCCTCCCCAACCCAGAGCCTTCCTCCTACCCCAGCCCTGGGCTCCCCCACCTTTGGTCCCAACTCACAGATCCCCTGCTCCCTCAGCCCTGCGGTCTCTCACCTGGCTTGTCTCTGTCTCCTTCCCTCTGCTCCTGCCCCTGGTCACAGTGCTTTGCCCTGCGCCCGTGGGAGTCCCATCCAGCCGCTGCCTGGCAGAAGGCAAATCTCCTGTAATCCTCAACTGTGTAAGCTCATTAGGACGTGAGGAGGGAAGGCCAGGAGATGAAGCAGAGAGGGGTAAATCCCCAGGCATGCTCTTCATGCAGTTGGACTCCAGGAGAGCACTGGTTGGGGGTGGGAACAGCCCCAGGGGACACAAGGAATGGGGTGGGGAGACGACCCTGGGCAGGAAGTGGGGCCTGGGACCGGGTTTGGGCAGGAGGCCTTTGGCAGGGAGCCCCTTCTAGGTCTTTACTGATGCTGTACCAGACAAGTGCTAGACACACTTCCACCCTCAGCCCCCCAGCTCTGCCACAGGTCCTCCCCCTGTGCCCTGCATTGGCCCTTTAAGGGTTAAAGCCCAGCCCTGGGAGAGGGTGGAGCTGTGGCATGAATTAGCCAATTAGGCTATGTCTACACCGGTGGGTTCTTGCACAAGAACAGGTCCATACTGCCATGTGTTTTTGCGCAAGAACATCCATGGCAGCGTGGATGCTCTCTTGGCCATTTTAGCCATCGGGCTTTCTTGTGCAAGAATCCCTGCCATGTGTCCACACTGCCCTCTTGCATAAAAGGGCTTACACTAGTTAGAAAAGAAACCCTCTCTTCCCACATTTTACTGTAAATTTCTTGTGCAAGAGTGGGCGGGCAGCTCTGCCAGTGTAGACATAGCCTTAGGTCCAGCTGAGGGCAGTAGAAATAAAGGCCCCTGGACTGGGGAAGAGACTCGGCCTCACTCTTGCTCTAACTGGAGAGCAGGAGAGACCTGGCTGTCAGGGAAGCTAGAGGCTTCCTGGATTACAGCAGGGCTGGGGCAAGCTCTGGCCAGGCAAGTTCCCAGGCTGCAGGGCCTGACGCAAGGCCTGAGCCAGCCAGGGCAGGCAAAGGCATCAGGTCCACACCCCCTTGCCAGTGATGAGTGGCCAAGTCAGGCTGCAGTTTTCCCCTGAGGCCGGGGCTAGATGAAGACTGGCTTTGGGTCACAGAGGCAGGGTGGGCAGTGGGGGTTCCCCGAGGGAGAGGACCCCAGAGCGTGAGAGCAGGGCAGTACCCAGAGGGGAGAATGCCATGGTCTGAGAGGCACGTGAGTCCTAACACAGAGGTGGAGGGGAAAACAGGTAACAGCAGAAAGGGGGCGCTCCAGAGCTGAAAAGCTAATTCCTGAGTGTCCAGCAGGAGGTGCCAGTGGCAGAGTTGCACCATGCTACACCCCTCCCCCTGCACTGTCCTCCCAAGACATGGCTCCTCCCCCAAGGGCTCCCCAGTGGCTACATGTACCTCCCCAGTAGGGCTGCCAGATGGTTCCAATGAAAATCCCAGACACACTTGATATGACATCACAAACTACGTTACATCTGATTTAGAAAATACTGGACATTTCTGTTTTCTCAATTTGTTTCCTGCACAGAAAGCTCAAATACTGGACTGTCAGGTTCAAAACTGGACACCGGCAACCCTACTCCCCAGCCCACCCATAGCCCTTCCCTCTACGTTAGTGGTCTCCAACCTTTTTAAGCACAAGATCACTTTTTTCAATTTAAGTGCAATGTAAGATCTACTTCAAACCTACATACCCTTGCATGGCTTCGTTGGCCCCCCTCTTCTCCAAAGCATCACCCTGCTCACTTTACTGCCCTTCCTCCCCCAATCTCATTCACTTTTACCAGGCTGGGGTAAGGCTCTGGTCTTGGGCCAGGGCGTCTGGAGTGTGGCCAAGTGCTCTTTTCTCTGGAACTCCAGGGCCAACCCCACCACTTTCAGGGGGTCCTTTTATCCTGCCTTCCTAATGCAGGAGCCTGGCCCATCCCCTGGGGCAGCACTGTGTTTGGCTGTCCCACTGCAAGCAGCTGGCATGTATAGCAGTAGCTCCATGTGCTGCCCCTCATCTACAGGCACCAACCCCACAACCTCCACTGGTCTCAGTTCTCCATTACTGATCAATGGGAGCTGCAGCAGTGGTGTCAGCAGGCAAGGACAGCATGTGGAGTCCCCCTGCTCTGACATTCTCAGGGGCTGTAGGGACATGCCAGCCACCTCCAGGTGCACAATTAACCACAGAGATAATTACTCCAGACATGACAGAATAGGCATTTTAGAACTCACTACTCAAAGAATTAAATGTAAGCGTAAGAGAGAAATGAAAGTTATGAAGTGCACAGACCAGTCACAAATGGTCCAGTCAAAAACTAAAGCTAACCCACTTTACAAGTAGTAACAACCCCCCATGTATGTGTTGGGTCAGGAGCTGAGAGGGAAGGACAGTGTGTGTTTGTGAGAATGACAGACACACACACTGTGTGTGACAGAGATGCGTTGCCAAGCTTCCTCCATCCCCTTCTCTCTGTTTAGAGATGGGGTACAGAAGTGGGGGGGGGGAAGGAGGGACACCCTGACATCAGTGTTCCTCCTTCTCCCTCCCACACTTTGCACTGCAAGCAGGAGACTCCCAGGGGGCAGCTCCAAGGAAGAGGATGTGGGGGGAGGGATGTATTGGGGCACCGTGTGCATGCACATAGCAAGGTGTGTAGGACTGCCCAGGGGAGGGATGTGTTGGGGCAGCATGTGCATGTAGCTAGGCAAAAGGACTGAATGGCAGATGGGTGGGAGGATGTGGGAGCTATGTGCAGCTGAACATGGTTAGGAAGATGGAAGGAAGTGTATGGGGGTTTGCCTGTGCAGGATGGAATCAGGGGGGTGTCTGCATGGGGAGAGGCTTGGGGCTGTGAGAAGCAAATGTGTCTCAATGGGCGAGGGGTGGTGTAAAGTAGGATATTATGAAGGGGATGTGGGGGATTGGGGTGGCATATCTGGGGGTGTCTGCGTGTGTGTATTTGAGGAGTTGTGAAGGGTGTGGGGGTGGCTTGGGGATAGGGTGTATCTGTTTAAGAGTGGTAAAGTCCATTTGGGGTGGTGTATGTGTGGGAGGGAGCAGTGTCTCGGGGGGGTGCATATAGGTGGGTGTCGGTACAATGGGGAAGTGGAGGTGTTTGTGTGACTGTCGTAAGTCTATAGTGGATGTGGAGGGTGTTTTAAGGGGGTTTGTGTTTGTGCAGGGTTATGAGGGATACAAGTCTGTGTGGGAATGTCAGGATTGTGAGTGTGGGATGGGTGTGTCTGCATATGGATGGCTGTGAAGGGTGGGAGGCTGCACTGGTAGGTGGGGTTATGAGGGATGTGGATTGTTGGGAGTGTGCATGTGTCTATTGCAGAGGTTGTGTTTCTGTGGGTGTGTGTGTGTGTGTGTGGTGAGGGGGTGGGTGTCTGTGCAGAGAGGTTGTGCCAGTGATGAGGATTGTGTATGGGTAGAAGGATGTGCATATGTGCGCTGTGGGATTGTGCAAGTGGTGGGTGTGTGCGCGTGTGTGCAGAAGGAGTTATTTCTCTGTGTGAGTGGTGAGGGGGTTGTTGGTGAGTGTGTGTCTGAGCAGAGAGGTTGTGTTTTTGTATGTGTGAGTGGTGAGGGTTGTGTGTCATGGGAGGGTGTGAATATATGTGGAGAGGGGTTGTGTGAGTGATAAGGATTGTGCATGGGTAGGGGGTGTGCAAGTGGTGCAGGCGTGCGTGTCTGTATGTGAGTGGTGAGGATTGTGTGTCATGGCAGGGTGTGCGTGTCTATGTAGGTGGTGTGGGGGGAGTGTCATGGGAGAGTGCGGTGTCTGTGTGTTGGGGTTGTGTGAGTGATGCAGGGGTGGGTGTGAACACCTGAAAAGGAAGCTGCAGTTGGGAGCTGAAATTGAGGAACCCAAGAGCGTGAGAATTAGCAGCTTTGTCCCCACTCAGATCAGCCAGCATCTTGTCTCCCAAATCCTGTTCAGAGCAAAGCCAGTCACTTGTGCCTGCCACAAGCAGAGCTTCAAGCCCCCAGGGGGCTGCCTTCACCTCAGGGGCTAAGGTAATGGGTTCCCTGCCTCGCTATAGAGCAGAGGGAGGCAGTGCCATCCCCATGGTTGTCAGTCCTTAGCTTCTCTTCTAAGGCAGCCACTGTGGGTTGCTTGTTCTGCCCCCTGCAAAACTGGTGAAAATGGGCTGAGACATGGCGACAGACAGGTAATCAATGAGTTTCCCCATGGAAAGATTTGGTGGATCCAGTAGTGGTGAGAAAAGGACCAGTACCCCTCTCCCAGTCCCTGGCCCCCTGAGACACTGCTGGTCTCGGAGGAAACACCATCAGAGTTCAAGGGTCACAGTTCTGTCTGGCCTTTGGGCAAGTGATTTCTGCCAAGAGCTATCCCCAATATCTCCATCTGTCACTCACTCATCTTTTAGGGTTGAATTTGGCTCCTTCACCACCCTAAACTGCACTTTCCAGTGTGGGCCTCACGTTCTTAGCCTGTGCTTGTGTCATACTTTCATGTCTGCAGTGTGGTCAGCGCCTGCCTCACTCAGACGTTTCCATCTGCAGTCACGTAGCTAAACCACAGATATTGAACATCTGCTTCTGTCAGAACTCAGAGACAGAGAGAGGAGCTGGGGTGTCACAGAGCCCTAGCACAGTAGCAAGACCCCATGGTGAGTGATTTACTGACCTCTAAGATGCACTTTCTGGGATTTAAAGGCACCTTCCCTCTTGCTATCTAATTCCTGCTTTTATTACTCATATCCCAGCCTCCAAGGATCTGATGGGAGCTGAAGCAGTATTCTCTACTCCAAAGAGCTGCCAGCCAAAATCCAAGGCATGGGTCAGCAGGTAAGAGCAGCAACTGGAGGGATGAGGGGGGCAAGCATGAAGGGCCCAGTCCCCAGGTGTAAGGCTACATAGCTCTGGCGGAGTGAAATTAGCAGGGACTTTGGTTCATTTAGGAAGTACTATTTTGCAGGCTATGAATCTCTTTAACTGCAGGCTCCATTTCACTTCAGACACTTGGGTTATGGGTCCAATGCAGATCAGTCATGGACACAGAGCAATCTGGATCTGGAAGGTGGGCACAAGCAATCTGCCTTTGAATAGGATTCAATGTAAATATCTACATCTAGCAACAAAGAGTGTTGGCTAGCCTCACAAGATTGGGTGTGTGTGTTTCTATCCTGAATACAGATTGAACCTCTAGTCCGCCACAATCTGATCCAGCATGGTTTTAGTTAGCTGGGTGTCTAACTTTTTGTGGGTGTGGCCAAGTTTCCCGTGGTCCCATAAAGTTTGTTTACAGCCATCCATTGTGCCTTTCAGTGTTCAGTGGGTTATTTAGCTCTAATTTACCCCTAAATGTCTTCTAAGAGCCCAGTAAGTGGTGAAAATGTTGGTCACATGGCCAGTGACCTCCATGTCACCCCATAACAATTGCCGCTGTACAAAGGTAACAAATATTTCATAATGGGTTATTCTTCTAGCAGAGAACGGTCTAACCCAAATGCTGGAAGTTGAAGCTAGCCCCATCAGAACTGAAACATGGCCTAAATAATCATATAGTACTAGAACTGGAAGGGTCCTTGAGAGATCATCAGGTCCAGTTC